GGTGAGTGCGCGGGGTCCGGAATGTGGGCGATTTGGCACCGAGTCCGCCCAGAGGAAGGGCGCGTGGTTTTTTTCCCGGACGGGAGTCCTCACCTCCAGCCCTTAAGGAAATACTCAGCTCCCGCCCTGAAGGACTGCGTGCTGCCGCCAGAATCGCGGGAGGCCTCCCGGCATTGTCGTCTGCTGTCATGGGTGTGACTGGGACCGAGCGCGGCGCCCGGCGCGGGTATTCATCCGCTCGTCTAGTGCAGGAGAGGACGCGGCTCCAGCAATTCCTACACCGGCGTTTCGGGATTATATAGTTTAAAGTAAATGCCCCTTGTAAGGATGACATTAGACGTTTCCTATAAATAAAGGTTTCTTTTTTCTTGTCTTTAAAAATTCTGGTAGAAAAAAGTCTCTAGCTCCCGAGCACAGAGGGTCCCTCACTTAGAGCCCAGACTCGTTACACAAACCCCCGAAGCGAGCTGACGGGGTTCCCCTGGGATGCAGGAGTTTCAGGGGCTTGAGGGGCCGCTTGAAAGGTACCAAGGAAGGGGAGGCTGCCTGGGTGAGGTGCAAGTGGGCGCCGGTCCCCCGACGCGACACCAGGCGCGAGCCAGAGCGCGTAAATGGCAAGTCCTACCGGACTCACGACGGACGGGGAAGCCCCCAGTGCCGCCTCTAGTGACCTGGGCACTCCAGTGCCTGGTGCGTGACCTTGGCTTGTGCCAAATCAATATTCATGGAGGAAGGGGGAAGGGTAGGCTTGGGAAACAGGTACCATTACTTCAGGATTTGCTCTTGGATAAATCTGTTTAAGAAATCCATCTCAGACTTGCTTGGATCTCTGGGGACACTGCAGATTTGAGAGCTGGACGCAAGCTAAGAGATCATGTAGCTATCAGCCTCCTTAGCTTTTCTTTTCTGAAGATGAGGAAACAGGTTCATAGATGTTAAATCATTTGCCCAAATTACTGGAAGAGTCAAGACTAAAATCCAAGTATCAAAGACTTCTGCTGTTCTTGGATCTAAGAATTAGTGGCTCACCTGGATTTTGTGTGTTTGTTTTAGCTGATTGGGTCAATCAATCAATAGCAGGTTTTCTGGAATTTTACTGTTTTCTAGACTTTCTAAGTAAATTCTAATTTACTAGAATGTTCTAGATAGGTGGCAAATATATATATATATTTCCAATCGTAATGGAAATATTTTTATTTTTTCAGTTCACTTAGTCTGGGCGTATAAGGTATTAAATAATTAGAATAGCCACGACTGCAGTTGCTAGCTCTTCCATCTCTACTTAGTCTCTTTTGCTGATTTCTCTCTAGATGCTACTTAAACATGACTGTTTCCCTATAATTTTGTCCTTGGTCCCCTTATCAATTTACATCCTCCTACAAGGGAAATTCAAAAGGTTCTGTGATAGGCAGTTAGACAGACATGAGCAGAGCAAGGACCATAGGCCGGGTACAGAAGGTCACTAGGGTAGAAAGCCCCCAGTGCCTAGCAATGGGCAAACCTGGAAGAACAAGGGTAAACTTTCCTCCCCTGGCATATTGCTGGTCATGCGGTTCAGACCCTCCCCTGACCTTGCCTCCCCTGGCATGTTGCTAGTCATGCAGGTTAGACCTCCAGAGAGGGCAAAGGAACAAAGGGGCCAGAGAACAGCCCTCAGCATTAAGCCCCCAGTACAAGGATGTTTTGACCCACATCAAACATCTAGGCTTGCCCCGCCGGCGTGGCTCAGCGGTTGAGCTTTGATCTAGGATCCAGGGAATCGTGGTTCCATTCCTGGTCAGGGCACATGCCTGGGTTGCGGGCTCAGTCCTCAGTGGGGGGCGTGCAGGAGGCAGCCGATCCATGACGACTCTCTCATCATTGATGTTTCTATCTCTCTCCCTCTCCCTTCCTCTCTCTGAAATCAATAAAGATATATTTAAAAAATAATAATAATACATCTAGGCCTCAGTTGTGTTTCAGCTCTAGGCCCAAAAAAGCAGCAAAACCAGACAACTGACACCATGGCTGACATCAAGGCCAGCTGCATTGACTAATGACCCCCTGCCCAGTGGAGACAAAGATCCTGAAAGGACACATCTGGAAAGCTAATAAATCCTCTATGGAGATCCTCCCCTGGGACCTACCCTAAGATCTCCACCCTTAAAAACTTTTAGGATGGAGGACACAGCGCTCTCCCCCCAGGGAGCACACCCAGGTCTTCCCCATCCCTTCTTCTTCCCCTCAGGCACATCACCATTACCTTCCTCTCTCCTGAGCTCCAAGGCCCCTTCTTTGGCCTCTGTAACTTGTTTCTTGAGCCCATTTCTTCTACCACTCACTTCTTCTATGCTGTGACTTTCTAAATAAACTTTCTCTTATAGTTTGAATCTTGGCTCTTAATTCTTTCCTAGCCAGGACTCAAGTACTAAGGTTGCTGAACCAAGGTCCAGTGTGAGGAAAGAGGGGTCAAGGGTCTAATACCTGTGCTATTCTCACCCCTGCCCACAGTTCCAGTGACTTCCATATCCGTATTTTCAGCCCCACGAACATGCTCCCAAGCAGGAGGTCTATATTTCCATCTGTAGGTTAGACACAGCTACTTGGTGTCATTTGTCATGTAAAACTCCAGTCTACAATGGAACACTTCAGTGGCTTCTCTTAGCTATAAAATGACATCTGCACTCGAGTCAATTCAGCAAGTGTTTTGGGGCATCAGGTGCATATCAGTTACTATTCTATGTTTGATACAGAATTGAATAAGACATGGTCCCCGAACTCAAGATGCCCACATGGTCTACAGAGCAATGTCTCTACTTGGCATTTAAGATCTTTCAAGTCTTGGTCCAACCTTCCTTTCTCTCACATACCTCCTCCTACTCTTTGCTCACCGTGGCCACGGGCCCTTTGCACCTACTGCTCCTTCTCTTTGGAATGCTCGTCCCCCGTTCTATCTAGTTGTTTCTGCTTTTCCTTTCACTTAAGTATCTTTCCTTAGGCAAGTCTTTACCCTCCCTTCACTCGTACACACCCTGCTGTTACTACATCCACCTCATACATCCTTCAAAGCATTTCTCCCAGACTTGATTTGGTGTTTGTTTGTATAATTTTTTTTTTTTAATTTCTCCAATAATCCTTTATTATACCGATGTCCTTTGTAGCAAACACATTGTTTCTTGGTGTAGGTTGGACCCGGTTTACAACTTTGATTAAATTTGTCTCCTCTAAGATGTAAGCTCTATGGGGACAGGGATCATGTCTGGTTTTGCTGTCTATTATAGTATAATTACCCCAAGTCTACTTTTTAGATACAAAATAAATGTTTATTGGGTAAATGAGTGAAAATTGTTTCTTAATTCATAAGCCAAGTTGAATTATTACAGGTTTCCTATACATGCCCTTGGCTTTCTCACCTTGGGGTCATGGGCTGCCTCCTCAGCTATGGAATGTCCTTTCTCCCATCTACACAAATCAAATTCCTACCCAAGCTTGAGAGCCAAATTCAAATTTCTTCTCCTCTCCAAGGCTTTCCCTTATTCCTCCCACTCTGAAGGAGTCACTCCTTCTTTTGGACTCTCATGATGGTTTATCAATACTTCTCTATGAAACCTACTTATTTCTAAATTTTATTATAATTATTCCTGTGCATATCTTCTCCCTTACAGGCTATAACCACTTTGGTGGATGGTCTGATGTTTCATTCATCGTCACAATCCTTTCAATCTATCGTGATGCCATTCAGTCTGGTCCTAGAATGAACACAGGTGGCATAGGCCTAAACCCAAGCCACAGCATGGAGCCGGGCTCAGTCAACCCACAGTCTGAAGAAGAGCTACACAGGCAAGCCTTTCCTAGCCCAGGCAGATTTCAATAGGCCTACAGGTCTGCGAGCTTGAGTATAAATGCTTATGGCCGTAAGTCCTGGAGTTTGGGATGTTTTGTAACACAGCATCCTCATGGCAATAACTTTCTAATATACAGAAAATAAATAAAACAAATAAAAGGTAAGATATTCCATAATTCACATGACAAATAAAACAATTTCCCCTCTCTGAATACCAGTTTATCTTGTATACCATGTTCTGAATCGAAGCTTCTCCAGGAGTGAACAAAACAGTGTCTAGGTCAGGCTTCCAGACAGAAGAGCAGTTGGTGCAAAGGCCCTGTGGTAAGAATGTGCCTGGTGACTTCAAGCCAGGGTGTGCAGGCCAGGGTGGCTGGAGCAGAGTGGACTGGTGTGGGGGGATTGGACAGGGAGGTACTGATGAGGTGAGGGTGGGTGGGAATTGGTAGCACTTTATGGAGGAGCTTGAAGACATTTGTGAAGACCTTAACTTTATGTCTGGAATGAGATGGGAAGTCAGTGTGTGTGTGGGGGAGGGGGGTGACCCTGGCTCACTCTGCAGGGAGACAGCAGCAAGGTCAAGGTGATCCTGGGGAGGTCAGTTGGAAATCCAGTCATATAGCAGAGAGAACAGAGGGGCTCGGAGCAGGATGTTAGCATTGGTGGTGGTGGCGAGGGGTCAGATTTTGTAGTAGTGAGAGCCCATGGGGCTTGCTGATGGGTTGGATGTGGGGTGTGAGGAAAGAGGGGTCAAGGGTGACTCCAAGGTTTTTGGCAAAAGGAAAGCTGCAATTATTAACTGAGAGAGAATCTGTGTGCTCCTTAATTAGGTCCAAAACCTCGTGGGGTGGTATTCAAGTATGATGAAATTCTGGAGGGGAAGAAAGGTGTAAGAATCACCTTTGCGTAGGTTATGCAATATGGGTGATGCTGACCTAGAGGCTGCACCTCACTTTATATCCAGTAAGTGGTTGGCATAGAAAATGTTTTACAGCCAAATCTGATAATCCTTACATTCTTTCCCTTTTTTTCTGGTCAGGGATAGACAGAGATATGGAACAACATGAAGAGCTGTGCAAGCAAAACTCAGTCACAGGCGCCATATATTTTCATTACCAATTAGGGGAATACAACTTTTATTTTTGAGAAAAAGACTATTTTTCATAATAGCTACTTTTGTACTCATTGCTGTGATTATTACATACAATGACTATTTGATTGCTGATGAAAAGGATGAGTACATGCTTGCTGAGCTGCTTAATAAATAACTATAGATGATTCTGCAGTGGCTTAAGGGGCAATTCTTCTTCTGTTGCCTTAGAGAGTTCATCTGGCTCTAAAAATGGATGTAATTCTAAGGGGTGGCCAAAATGTATCTATTAGCCTGACATCTAGGTCTTTTTAACAGATCTATAAATTTCCAATTTCCTTCACATCTTAACCGTGGTAAATCACCTTGAACAAGGCCATTCTTTTGCACAACAGACTCCTTATTAGCTGAGATCAATTGAGATTAGAAAGTGAAAAATACACCAGATGCTGAGAACTCTTTACGAAACCACATTTGTAGGATGAGTATTGAATGAAGATTAATGTGTTATTTTTCAGCTTCTACATCATTGATTTTTAAAGTTATTCTCTGTACCTTATTGCTAGATTAAGCATTAATATATATTTGGAGGGTTTGCTTGCTAGCAACTATTATCTTTTCCCTACTGAGGTTATGTGTTGTGGAAGGAAATGATTTGAATTCAAATGTATCTTGCTTTGCATACCACATGTGTTTCTGAAAGTACTACACATTAAATGGGATAAAACTGATTCCTTTTTCCATTGAATTATAAATTAATGATTAAACCGTTTGTTTACATTTCTGACTGATTTTCATTTGCTCTTCAGATAAAACACAAGACCCTTATTAGCACATGGTGTGGCCCCTGGGCTCTGTCTGCCTTTTGAGACAATTTCCCAATACTCTCCTCTTGCCTCCAAACCCCAGCTATCCTGGCCTTCCTTTCAACCCTGAGACTTCAGACTCAAGATTTTGGCACATGTTGTCTAAAATTTAAATACTCTAACACTCCATGCTTTATCCCCACCTCCATAGCACATATAGTACATTACGTTCTTAATTCACTGTCTGTCTTCCCTCAACTAGAACATAGGTTCCCAAAAAATGCATGGGTTGCCCTGGCTGGTGGCTCAGTTGATTACAGCTTCATCCCATACACCAAAAGGTTGTAGGTTTGACCCCTGGTGGGGATGCAAATGGGAGGCAATCGGTGTTACTTTTTCTCTCTCTCCCTCCCTCCTTCTCTCTCTAAAATCAATAAAAATATATCCTTGGGTGAGGGTTTAAAAAAAGAGAATGCGTGTGTTTCAGTCTGCTACTGAATCTCCAGCATCTAGAAGTGTGTTGGGCATATAGCAAGCACTAGGAAAAATGATGTTACTGCTCTCACTGGAAGGTAAGCTCTTTTAGGACAGGCTGCACTTGCTACTTCTCAGTTCTCAGGGAGCTTACAATCCAACGGAGAAAATATGTTCTGAAACAGATTCATAAAATATTCGGACAATCACAAAATACAATACTTATTATAGTTTACAATACAGGGCAGATTAGAGCAAAACGTGTCCCAGATCACAAGTGCTTTGGGTGGCTGTGCAGGAGACAATAAGAAGTGGATGGCTGTGGTTATGGGAAATGATAGCTTCACATGTTTGTGTGTGTGAGATACAAACCAACCAGCCTCCTATGAAAATGTCTAATTTCTTTGGCAAAATTTGGTGCTAGCTATTCCAGTGTGGGATAAAGTGGATTGACCTGCGGCTTCCATGTTAGAATGAGGGCAGATGAGTTGGGCTGCTGATTTGGGGTATCAAGGTGTATGTATCATAATAGCGGATGCCTTTTCCCCCTTTAACAATCAGTGGTTAGCTAACGATCACACATAGGTTCTGATGATGTTGGGCAATGTTGCTCAAATAGGGCTGTATTATGCAGGTACATCCAGCCCTTGAAAACCAGAAGTCCATATTCCACTGCTTGGTGGTGTGCTCAGCAACAGCCGCAGGCAGTAGCCCACAGTCAGGACACGTGGGTGTCCTTCCAGCTTACCAAACTCCAGGGGCTCACAGACGGGACTGAGGCAGCAAGCGTGAACAAAAGGATGTTTCTTTTCTCTGGGACTTCTCTCCTTTTGTTCCTTTGGTGTCTCTGCAAAGGCATTTGACCTAGAACTGAGCACAACGGCACCCATCACAGGTGATTGCTACACTAGTGCACTGAATGCGCCAGCTTCCGAATTACAGAGCTGAATGCCACGACCACACTCGCTCAGAAGTCCTGACACTGGGGAAGGAGATGACCGACGTCCCTTCAAGCTCTGTAAGGGTGATGCAGAAATGACCCATGCCCACGGCAGCCGGGCACACAGGGCCCTGCCCAGATTCCTCATCTGCAGAGACAGGCCCGGTCAGACCAGCTGCTCCTCGAGCAAGCCAGTCCTCGCACCTGCGTCACAGTGGAGCGCACACTCATGCCCACAGGACACACACCTAGAATGACACACCTGCGTGTTCTGTTCACAAGGACAGACACTTGTGTACGGGGGCACTGTGCACACCCACTCACATACGGCAACGCACAAGCACATGCGTGGAACAAAGCGTTTTGATGAGCTGGGTGTCCCAGCCCACGCGCGCACACGCACATGCACACACGCACACACACGCACACACACACGCACACGCGCACACACGCACACACACGCATACACAAACACGCACACGAAAACAGGCACGCACACGCACACACTCGCACGCTTTCGGGCCCCCACAAGACCCCTGGAACATGGGTTTGCCGCCCTCCACCCCGGTGCGTCCCCAGCCGGACAAAGCCACA